AATTGATCTTACATGCCTTATCTTAGCAAATGATGCTGCCATCCACCTAGTTTCACTAACCTGAAACCTGGATGTCATTCTTGAACCTTCTAATTCCCTCACCCTCTGCATACAAACATCCCCAAGTTTTTCTATTTCACCAACTATTTCTCAAATTTAAGCACTTCCCACCATAACTGTTGATACCATTCTAGTACAGGCCATTGTAATTTACAATCCAAATTATTGTACTGGTCTCCTATGCCATTCCCCCAGTCAAGCCTGTACATTATCAGTGTTCTCTGAATAAACTCAATCTGGTTCCCTCCCATCCTTTGCTTCAGGGTAACTGCCATAGTTTCCAAATCTATTCTGGCCTTGTCATTACATTTCCACTCCTTGTTCCCCAAGTGACTGCCATACTTTTAGTTCTCTGCATAGCCCATCCTCACCCTTGTATGTGCAGCCCCCTCTGCCCCCACAATCTCTTCCACCTCTCCCCACTACAAACATCACCTGGCTAATTTCTACTCCTCCCTAAGGTCTTGTTGGACATCACTTCCTTCTGGGAACTTCTCTTGACAACCCTCCCCCTCAAAACCAGTTAGGTATCAGTCTTAGGTGCCCTCATAATGTTCTTTCCCTATCAGTGCAGGTTCACACTGTTGGCTAGTTTGTATCCCTCAGTGGCCAGCAGTCTACTCAAGAGCAGGCATGTCTTTTTCACTATCAATCCTCTGGTACCCAGGTGTGCAATAAATGGTCATGTGAATAATTTTATTAATCATGCTTTTTTGTTTCTTTTATTTTCTCATGTTTTAACACCTGCAGCCTTAGGAGAGTATCTTTGAATTGGTAGCCTATGTCCTCTAACCCCCTTCTTTACCAACCTTTCACAAACCAGGCACTATTCCTTTGCCCTAATGAGTCCAGGGCCAGCTACGAAACAACCCTGGACAGCCCCTACATCCCAAAACCCGCTGAAATTTTTCAAACTAGCCAATCACAAATAAACCCACCTACCCTGCATCTCCCATTCCTTCCTTCAAAAACCACAATCAAGTCTCTTACCCATGCTTTCCCCTCGCTCCCTCTGCTTCCTGACCCACCGTGGTGCCCAGGTTAGAATTGGTTTGATATGAAATATTTTGTGCATGTGGACAAGAACTGGAAAGAAAAACGGGGGTGGGGGAATGAAAACTGTTAGGGTGGTGGACATACGCGTTTTTCCAGATTTCTATAATAACATCAACTAGCACACTTTAATGCCCACGGCGAAACAAAAGCCAGCACGAGGGAGCAGAGGTAACAAGCAGCTGCTCACCGGCATCTTCCAGCGCAGAAGCGGGCCGCGCGATCCTGGGCTGGTTTGCGCAGCCTCAGTTCCTTAGAGGCCGGAACCCTTGTGAGTCGTTCCACTGTTTTCCAGTCGGCAGTGNCATCTTCCAGCGCAGAAGCGGGCCGCGCGATCCTGAGCTGGTTTGCGCAGCCTCAGTTCCTTAGAGGCCGGAACCTTTGTGAGTCGTTCCACTGTTTTCCAGTCGGCAGTGAAAGCGCAGTTCCGGCCCTCCCGGAAATCGCTGCACAGTGGTCTCCGAGGCGGCGTGAGGTAGAGGGGCGCTCCAAATGGGTCGCAGCCGCAGCCGCTCCCCACGAAGGGGTGAGTCCAGAAGCAATTTGTAGGATTTGGTGCTCGGTTGGAGGCACATCTCCCCTCTCTTTTTTCCTGTGCGAGAGCAGCTGAGATTCAGGCCCTTTACTGCCGAGAAGAGCGGGGTTGGGGGCGGGGGTGAATGGGGGAACAAAGACCTCGGCCCTTTAGTTTGAAAGCAGGTGTTTTTTCTCCTTTATAAATTGAGTTTCGCTCTTTGTCAGACTCCTGTAGTAACTTTTGACATTCTTGTGACTGGGTAATTTAGACTTAGACCACGGTTCCTTCGTTTAATTTCTGGGTGACAGTGTGCAGGTCATCTAACCTTTCTGAGTCCGAATTTCCGTAATTAGACATGGGGGGTAATATTACCGAACTTTAAAAACTTATGTGAGAATTAATGGCACATTCCGTAACACTCAGCATGTGATACTGCCTGTGTCTTAATGCTTAATGTTAGGTTACTCCAGTTTATTGTAGTAGGGAAATCGATTTTTAGATTCTTGCGTCCTGGGAGCTCACCTCCTAAGGTCTTCTGGTCGCCATTCCCAGAAATGAGGCAGTGCCATGTACAGAACACAGGACTTATAACTTAGACCCTCGGTTCCGTCCCCTGGTTAGTTTTCACCACCTTAAACTAGTACAAGACTTGATTTTCTTAAAAGTTCAGTGAAGCCTGGATCCACCTATTTGGGCACTTAAGATGTGCTAAATCAGAATTAAGAAGTACTGTTTAATTGTANCCTCTCTTTTTTCCTGTGCGAGAGCAGCTGAGATTCAGGCCCTTTACTGCTGAGAAGAGCGGGCTGGGGGGGTGTGTGAATGGGGGACGAAGACCTAGGCCCTCCAGTTCGAAAGTAGTTTGTTTTTCCGGTTCTAAACTGGGGCTTCGTTCTTCGTCAGTCTCGTATAGTAACTTTTGTTATTCTTGTGACTCGGTAATTTAGAATCAGACCACGGTTCCCTCATTTAATTTCTGGGTGACCACGTGTAGTTACCCATCCTTTCTAAGTCCGATTTCCCGCAATTAGACATTGAGGGTTAATATTACTGATAAAACTGATGGGAGAATTAATGGCACATTCCATAACCTCAGCATGTGATACTGCTTGTGTCTTAAATGCTCAACCTTAGGTTCCTCCAAATTGACATATTTTTAAGATGTTTTTATTGATTTTATTTTTAAAATATTTTAAAATTGATTTTAGAGAGAGTAAGGGAGAGGGAGAATCATGGATTGGTTGCCTCCTGCACGCCCCCTACTGGAGGTGGAGCCCGCAACCTGGGCATGTGCCCCAACTGGGAATCCAACCAATGACCTCTTGGTGGGACTGTGCTCAAACAACTGAGCCACACCGATACTTTTTTAAAAATATTTTTTAATTGATTTTTAGAGAGAGAAAAAAGAAGAGGGAGGGAGAAAAACTGGTATCAGAGCAAAACATCAATTGTTTGCCTCCTGCAGCCCCCTACCATCAACCTGAGCATGTGCCCTAACCTGGAATCTAACCTGAAACCTTTCGGTGTGAGGGAGTAGGCCCAACCAATAGCCACACTAGGCAGGGTTTGAAATCATTGTTTAGAATCCTGCGTCCAGTAAGGTACTCCTAAGGTCTGCTGATCTCCACACGCATGAGTGAGGCAGTGCTATGTACTCTTAGACCCTAGGTTCTTCCCCTTGGTTGTTTTTTCCACCTTCAATTAGTCAGGACTTGATTTTCTTAAAAGTTAATTGAGGGCGGGATCCACATACAGCTACTGAGCTCTTAAGATGTGCTCAATCAGAATTAAGAAGTGCTGTTTAACTGTAGGATACAGTTTTCCTACATGATTTAGTAGAATAAACATGTAAAAATGGCTATAATTTTTTATATTGAGTACATGTGGAAATGTTAATAGTTTGGAAGTATATATATTTATNTAAAAAAATCTCAATTTTATTATATTGAGTACATGTGGAAACGTTAATAGTTTGGAAATATATGTATTTAGNAAAAATGGCTATAATTTTTTATATTGAGTACATGTGGAAATGTTAATAGTTTGGAAGTATATATATTTATCCAAATAACATTGTTACAATTAATTTCACCTGCTTTTTACTTTTTTAATTGACTACTAGAAATGGCTCACATTATATTCATATTGGACAGTGCAGCTCTAAATGTTTGAGGTAATTTTCGGCTCTGCAATTTTGTTTGTTTGTGTTAGAGCGTAGGCGGTCCCGGTCCACTTCCCGGGAGAGAGAACGCAGGCGCCGAGATAGGTCCCGGTCCAGGGAGAGAGACAGGAGAAGGAGTCGCTCTCGATCCCCGCACAGAAGACGCTCCAGGTAAGTGCAGAACATAGCCCTGGGTTTTACCGAAAGTCCCAAAGAAACTAGTTCTTGCCCTTTACTTTGATTTTATCACTTCTAAGGCAATTTACAATGTCATGAAATGAGGGGAACTTAAGCCCACCTTATTGGAAACCTAACATTTCATTGGTGAAAGGGGTTAATAAGTCTCTATTCCTAGAGTTGCCTTTAGGAGTGAGAAACTTAACGTGGTGCTTGGCAAGAATAAGAAATAAGTGTTTTGTTTTTTATTGACTTTTTGGTGATAAAGATTTATTCAACTATAATCAAGAACGTGAGATCTTGGAATAACCTAGAATGGACTCTTGATTCTTAATTAAGCATCAATTGCTGTTTAAGTCAACTTTCTGTGTGTTTATGTGTAGCTGATAGAAACTGTTCAGTGACATTTTTCTGGCTTACAGTTTTGTAGCCCTAGCTATACTAAGACTGTATTTATGTTGTTAACAATCAGGGCCTAGGCAGAACCTTCTAACTTATTCTTCTATAGGAAATGGACTCGTGGTTCTCTGGAGCCTGGCTTTTGTTCAGCCTTTACCTTTCAGGCACTCATGTATATCTGTGCTGATTGACACAAGTGGCCAGGTATGTGTCTGTTTCTGACCTCTTTACTTATTAAATATTAGATCCCCAAGACGACATAGATCCACATCTCCTTCTCCTTCTCGACTGAAAGAAAGAAGAGATGAGGAAAAGAAAGAAACAAAGAGCAAAGAACGTCAGATTACTGGTAATGTTATTAGATAA